AGAACAGAGTACTAATGTCACCAACTATTATTGTATTAGCATCTATTTGCTTTCATATTCATATTTGCTTTATGAATTGGAGTGCCCTAGTATTCAATGTATAAATGTTAACATCTGGTATATCCTCTTGATAACTTGTCCATTCATCTATATTAAAGAACCTATGTAGTGTGTAATTTTTGTTTGAAGTCTTTTGTTGGACATACACATAGATAATCTTTTTTAAAGGCAATATTTTCTTGGAATATCATTTCTCAGCCTTTACTTTGCCTTTGCCTATGGATTTATTTCTTGCAAACAATAAATGTCTGGGTCTGATTTCTTTTTTTTTAATACTTTTTTTTTTATTGTGAAAATACCGTACAAAGGGGTTACAATTACATGAGCAAGGAAATGAGTATATTTCTTATCAAGCATTGTTGCCTTCTCCTTTGTTTCCCCTTACCATCCCTGCCCTCTCTTCTCCCCCTCCCCTGGACAAAGTTGTAAAGTTCCTTTTTCTTTTTTTTTCCTTTTTTTCTAGTGAAAATACCGTACAGAGAGGTTACAATCACATGGGCTAGGTAATGAGTACATTTCTTATTAAGCATGGTTGCCTCCTCCTTTGTTTCCCCTTCCCATCCCTTCCCATCTCCCCCTCCTCCCAAAGTTGTAAAGTTCGTTTTTTGACATAACATCTTTGTACATCTCATTGTTGCAATGGGTCCGCCTGTATCCCTATTTAAACAATTTGTTTTTTCCCTTCCCTTCCACAAATTATACCAACATCAAATACAGTCAAAACAGGGTTATACCATGCGGGAGGGACATACAAAGCAACAAAGAATCATCTGATAAATATGTTAGACACAATAGCAAGAAAGGCAAACAATTTGAGTCCTTATCTTGGGGTTCATTTCGCCTAATATCAACTTATCTGACCTTTTCTGCTTGACATATACTAGCTATTGCAAATAAGGGAAACCATGGGACCTAAAAAAATATGGAACACTTCACGAATTTGCCTGGCATCCTTGTGCAGGGGCCATGCTAATCTTCTCTGTATCGTTCCAATTTTAGTATATGTGCTGCCAAAGCGAACACTGGGTCTGGTCTGATTTCTTAATCCAACATGCCAGTCAGAATCTTTTGATGGGAGCATTGATACTACTCCTGAGCATTTTCTTGGCTTTTTTTTTTCAGGCAGGAAAAGTTTATTTACTGAACTGCTGTCCCGCTGTGCATGGTGGAGAGGCGTGGATGAAAAAGGTAGGGGCTGACCCACCCCTGGGCCAGGACTTATCTAGGGCAGGGACAGGAAGAGGTGTGGCTAGGTGAGGGAAAGGTGTGGCCATACTCCATCCAGATTTGACCTCAGGGTGTAGGACCCTTCTTAGACAGCCCAGGATGTGACCTAGAAGGAGGGGAAGGTGACTGCTTCCAAGTGTGCCAGTTACCTAGGTAACAGATACTGGGTGGAAACTTAGCCAAGAGGTAGGTAGGTGTCCCTGTGTAGACCTTACATTCAAGCCTTTTGATAATTTTTTTAAAAAAAAAAAAGAAAGAAATGAAATCAGGGGCAGCCGAATCTTTTGAAATCCCACACTATAGAACATTTAATTTTGGAAGCACAGTTACAATTAAGAAATATAATTATGAAGATTTCTGATCCTTGTCAGTTCTTGCTGGCGGTGCGTAGGATCTGTTCATGCAATGACATCATCCCATTTGTTAGGAAATGGAAAGACTTGGGAAAAATTATATTAAGTGAAGTAAGCCAGGCCCAAAGAAACATAGGTCCTATGGTTTCCCTTATTTGCAATAAGTAGTATATGTCTGGGACAAGCAGAAAAGGTCAAAAGCTATATACATATGACCAGATAAGATGATGTTAAGTGAAATCAACCCCAAGATAGGGACACAAGTGTTTTATTTTTCTTTCTTGCTATTGTTCTTAACATGTTGTATGTTCCTCCCCCACAGTTGTAGAGTTGGGAAGGAAGGGATGGTAGGGGAAAAACAAAGGAAGAGGCAACAATACTTGGTAGGCAATGTACTCGTTACCTTGCTCATGTAATTGTAACCCCTCTGTACAGTATTTTTACAATAAAAAACTTTAAAAAAAGAACAAAAAGGAAAAAGGGTGAAGATTCTTTCTGGCTACTTCCTGCTGGCAAGGTGCGTGGACAGTAGGGGTTAAAGGCTGAGATGTGGTCCCCTCTGGGAGAAGGTAGCAGGCAGCAGCTGTCACTTGGTGGACGTGAGTCCTTAGATGAAGCCTGGAGGAAGTTTCATGAGGTATTGAGGGGCTGGAAAAAAATACTAGAGAGCAAATAAATGGCAAGAGGAAGGACTTGGGGCTAAAAATTAAAAATTGGATGACTTGGCTAGAATGGCTAGTTCTTATCTCCTGCATTCCAGGCTGTCCTAGAGTTGGTAGAAATGTCCCTAGCTACTTCTAACATCTGGCGACTAGATAGAGAGAAAGTCAGGTAACAAAGGCAAAAATGTAAATTCCTGTCCAGTTAAAAGGTAGACAGGTTGGACATTAGATGGGCAGGCTTCTTACTTCTATTGACTTCCCGGCTCTGGTTAATTTTGGAAGGGTAGGCACAAAGTGGCTGATGTGATATCATCTCCTCTTACTCCTCTTCATGGTCCCTTGTCCCCCAGACTGGCTGAGTCCCAGGGGTTCAAGTGCTCATTGCTGGGATGACTCGTCCCAGTTGTTATTCATAGAAGTTTGAACTTAAGGCCTGGACACTGTTCCTGAACACTTCTGCTCGAGGCTAGTGCTCTACCACTTTGAGTTGTAGTACCACGTTCAGTGTTTGGCTGGTTAATTAGAGGTAAGTGTCTCTAAGAATGCCTCCAGCCTGGCTCTTTGCAGGTTAGTTGGGAGCTGGAGTCTCAGGGATTTTTCAGACCGGACTGGCTTTCCACTGGAATCTTTGCCACAAAACCCTTTATTATTTATTTTGTTGTTTATGTAATGGTTGATACCTTCCTAATTTCTCATTCACTTAATCGACTTATCTAGTGCAATTATTCTTTTCTATATTTTCATGGTTATACTCATCTTCCTCTGTGTGTGGAAATCTTTTAAGTATCCCATTAGGTTCTGGTTTCATGGTTATGAATTGTTTTAGATTTTGTTTGTCATGAAATGTTTCTTTATGTCTTTTTCAATTGTGAAGGAGAGGGGCTGGGAAGGTGGCTCAGTGGTACAGTGCTTGCCTTGCATGTATGAGGCCCTGGGTTCGATTCCTTAGTACCACATAAGCAGAAAAAGCTGGAAGTGGCACTATGGCTCAAGTGGTAGAGCACTAGCAGTAGAGTTTTTCTGGGTACATCACCTAGGTTGACAATTATTATCTTTCCAAGCTTGAAATACATCATTTTTATATAATCAATTATTGTTCTACAGAGTTTGCATTTATATGTAACTTAGATTTCCTCTCTTTTATTTTTCAATAATGTTAACTGGTTCTATTTACTCAGATTTTTAATGACAATATGATAGATGGTTTTGTACTCTCATGTGTTTTTGTCCTAAAAGCTTATCATACTTGGAAAGCTAGTTTTTTCCTAAAAGTTGGGAAATTTCTGCTGCTATTTTATTATATATGTTTTCTATGTGTTTAGCTGGCATTTTTACTCTTCTATGTCCATGGTTCATTGTCTTAGTCATTTATTTATTTATTTATTATTTTATTTTGTCAGTCCTGGGGCTTTAACTCAGGGCCTGGGCACTGTCCCAAAAGAAGCTTTAGCTTCTTTTCCTCATGGCTAGCACTCTACCACTTGAGCCACAGCACTACTTCTGGCTTTTTTCTGAGTAGTTTATTAGAGAAAAAAATATCTTGGGCTTCCAACCACAATCCTCGGATCTTAGCCTCCTGAGTTGCTAGGATTACAGGCATGAGCCACCAACACCCTGCTTGTTACTTAGTCTTTTAATTATGTCTCAAAGGTCTTACATGTTCTGGGTATATTTCTCCAGATTTTTCTTTTTTTATAAAATCTCTATCTGAATATTCTGATACATTACTTTGTCTTCATGCACTGATATTCTGTATTCATTTTGATCCAGTCTACTAAGATGTCTTAAAATGGGGTTTTATTTGACTTTTTGAACTTTTCCAGAATATCAATTTGATTTCTTCAGAACTTTTATATCTTAATTAATTCCTATTTCATATGTATTATCTTCCTTATTTCATTCAAGTGTTAATTATACTCTTTTGGAATTCAGTCATCTGTTTTCATGTTCTTTGAATTCATTTAGGTGTTGATATATTTCTTCTTTAATTTAATTGATTATTCTTAAAATAATTTTTCTGAATTTTTTGTCTGGAATTCCATACACTTTAGCATCTTTAGTTTTATTTATTTATTTTTTAATGTGAGGTTATTGACTTTTGAAGGAATCATGCTGCCTTGTTTTTCCATATTTTTCTTTTTTTCCTTATGCATTGGGATTTGTGCTGTGGCAACAGGCAACTTCTGGAGGTCAATCTCTCTACTAACCGTGGATTTGGTACTGTTTCTTCTGTAATTCTCAGGCAATAGAGTCTGCTTTAGCCAGAGAGGCTAGGCCTACAAATCACAGCACTCTTCAGTTAGCAGATTAAGCTCCTGACTGTTAAGCTTCTCATTGGTTCTACATCATATTTACTCTCACTCCATAACTGTTGTGTGTAGGCATTTCTCTCTAAGATTCTGCTGATGGAAACCTAAGACTTCCTGGGCTGCAATGGTTCCTTGTCTACAAGCCCCCAGAGTAGTCTCAGATGTCACTTGGCAGCAAACCCTCACGACCACATGGAAGTTCTTGAAATTGAGCCATTCCACTAGTCACAGGCTCAGTGATTACAGTGATTCTCAGGCAATAGGACTTTCTCTTACCAGGGAACACACATCCACTAATGATCAAACCATTTGCTGGCCGAGCTCTCAGCTGTTTAAGTTCTCTTGGGTCTACATTAGACCTTCTCCCTCTTTACGACCACCTTTCTCAAATAAAATATGATTTATTCACAAATTCGCATGTCATACTTGCACAAAGGCCATACTAATTTTCTCTTTATCATTTCCATTTCAGCATATGTACTGTTAAAGTGAGCATTTTTTGTGTTTTTTTTTATTGTAAAAATAATGTAAGAGGGGTTACAGTTACACGAGTAAGGTATTGAGTACATTTCCTATCGAGCATTGTTACCTCCTCCTTTGTTTTTCCCCTACCATCCCTTCCTTCCCAACCTCCCCCCTCCCACCAAAGTTGTAGAGTTTGTTTTCAACATAGTGTCTTGTACATCTCGTTGTTACAATGGGTCAACCTGTATCCTTGTTTCAGCACTTTGTTATTTCCCTTCTACTCCCTTAATTAGAAAACTGTATATACAAGATGCAGGTTGCCAACATCAAATACAATGAAAACAGGGGTTATACTTTGGGGGAAGAACATACAAGAGAAACAAAAAAAATCACATAGTACATTTTTAGATACATTAAAAACAATAGCAAGAAAGAAAATGCAAGTTGTGACCTTATCTTGCCCCATTTGTTAGGAAATGGTAAAACTTGGAAAAATTATATTAAGTGAAGTAAGCCAGGCCCAAAGAAACATAGGTCCCATGGTTTTGCATGGTTATTTGCAATAACTAGTATATGTCGAGGACAAGCAGAAAAGGTCAAAAACTATGTACATATAACCATAAAGATAATGTTATGTGAAGTGAACATTTTTTATGTCTTTATTCCAATGAACAACATTTATTCTAATGAACCTTAGTGTGCTATTATGGCATGAAAAATAGTATCTGATTCTTATAATTAATTCAGGTGCTGCAGAGGGGAAATATAAATACAAGTTAAGACTATCTGCATTTGCATCTCTAGAGCTGTTAACCACATTTCTACCAACCATCAGTAAGGGAGATACCATGGTGAAGGAGGGGTTATGAGTGAGGGTTACAGAATATCAAGGAAGGCTTTTCTGCTGATCCTTTCAAAGTCTGGTTCTTTGATATATCTCCTAGACAAAGGGAATGTTATGTAATTGAGAAGATAAACACAAAAATTATGAACTATCGCATATAAAACTATACCCAGGGTCATGGAGATAGGATAAGATAGGTTTTGTGAGACAGTTTATTTTCAGCCCATCTATCCCTAATACTACAAAAATTCTTTTTAAAATTATGTAAAAAAAAAGAAAAAAGTGATTAAGTCTCTAATCCCATGAGATAGTCTCTGTTGTAGCCCTCTGATTTCTTCTTTTGAATCAGAATCTATGATTTTCTCTGTCAGGGGAACTTGATTCTGTAAATCAGGATGTCTGTTACTTGGGCCCCTAGTTGAGTTGGAGATTAGAGAAAGGAAAAAGTTAAATCACATATTTATTCTCTCAGCATCTTCTTCATAAAGTATCCCTGGCTTTGCTATCCTCCCTCATGGAACATCACTCTCCTGGATGACACTGATTTTTATGTGATGTCCTCCTTGGAATTCCTTTCCAAGTTCTAGAAACTACTCTCTCTCCTTGCCTCCTCAGGTTTAGGTTTGATAGTGATATGGGGGTAGGGAGTTCCAAGGGACATGTATTAACTATTTTCTGGTTTTGAGTACTTTATGTGTTTCTCATTGGGACAAGCCTTAGGCAGATTTCTGAAAAGGGAACTCATTATGGAGTGCCCCATCTCTCATGATTTGATTCTAATCTAATAACAAACATCAAAATATTTGGTCAGAGATTGCATATAGGCCAAGGGAGAATACTTACGACTACGTAGACTATTTAATCTGGACAGTTAAGGGACAGAAGTAACGATTAAAGTAGACCAGCCTGCCAATAGCACAAATGATTGTGATGTCAAGATCGATGACACTCTTCCTCATCATCACTATTAAAACTACTCTCAATAATACTTGTTTTTCTGTAACCAAAATTCCCTCACTTTAGTGAGAGCAAAAGGCAAATATCAACTTAAGGGACACATGGACAGGACAGATGATCCATCTCAACCTCTCAGAAATGCAGAAGAGCCGGGCACCAGTGGCTCACGCCTGTAATCCTAGCTACTCGGGAGACTGAGATCTGAGCATGGTGGTTCAGAGCCAGCCCAGGCAGGAAACCCGGGAGACTCTTATCTCCAATAAACCACCCAGAAAACTGGAAGTGGCGCTGTGGATCAAATGGTAGAGCACTAGCTTTGAGCTGAAGAGCTGAGGGACAGTGCCCAGGCCCAGAGTTCAAGCCCCACTACCGAAAAAAAAATACAGAACCTTCTTAGGAAGGTGATTAATTGAGAGAGAAATGTAGAGCCTCTGCCTGCCACTGCTACTAGTTTCAAGAGAGATGTTAGACGGTGAGTGTAAGCTTTCTTGCTGTACATGCTTGTTTGATCCTCTAATGAACTACCGAAATTCTGTTTCTTCAGCGGTGAAAATAAAATGTGGAGATAAGTTTGATTTTGATTTTGATTTTGTACACATTTCCATCAAATTCTGTTTAATAATGAGTTTCATAACCATAGTGCTCAGGCATCCTCTTAAATCACTGGACAAGTTTGTCATATAAAATTTAGGTGGAAAATGTTGTTGTTATTGTTGCTTTAACTTAGCAAGAAATTAAAATAAAATGGTCCATAAGGATTCTGCATTTTGGAAGAAATAAAGAACAAGCTCAGAGAACAATAACAAAGCCAAGGACTGAAAGAAGCATTTGGGTAGGATGTAAGGATGAGGAAATTCGTGGCCTGATCACTCCAGAAAATAAATGTCAAAACTTCCCTTTATTTCCTTTCAGATAATTTTAAGAATCAGATGACTGGATCGCCCTCTTTATAACTTGCAGCCAAATTAATTTTTAAATTACCTGGGATTTTTAATTAATTAAACCAATTTCTACTACTAGTGATTTTAAGTACTAGGAAAAGAGGAAAAGTAACAGCTATGGTGAAAAGCTGACATGTATTGTGGTATGCTTCTAGTTTCTTGCTCAGGATACATTTTTAGAAGTAGGCTAGGTAAAAATATAAGAACATTTTGATTAATTTTATAAATGAATTTCTAGAAAATTAGGATCAATTTACATTTGCGGTAGTGTACATGTTTCTGCATCATCTTTAGTACAAAGGACATGGAACAAGCAAGGGCAGAACCAACCCCCTCATATTACCTTGGCTGTATTGAAGTCTCTTCTCAATTCTTATAAACAGGATGTTATCAATAGTACCTCCAAAATCACAAAAATCAGTACCGCCAAAATTGGAACATTATTTTTTTTCTGGAAGTTGTTCTTTGGACCGGTTCTAAATAAGATAGAGAAATAAAGCCTGTGAATTGGAAGGAAAACTGCCAAATAAGAAAACAAACAATGTGTATAGGTGGGTAGAGTAGAATATGTTTAATATTTTAAGTGCTTATTTCTAAATTGCAGACAGGAAGCAGAATTCTTATTAAAAAACATGAGGCATAATGTAAAGTCCCTTTAAAACAAAGCAAGTATACAGGCTGGATAGGAGAGTTTGGCATAAGCATAAATATTTCTAATTTCTTGGTATCTCCTTTAAGGGAACTGGGACTAGAGATGGTAAAGATCAGGGGGGAAAGTCTGAGAGGCACTGGGTCTATTATGCATTTTAAACTTTTATTGTCTAATATTGTAAAAGGGGGATTACTTGTTTTTACAAAGTGATAACTAGAACTACAGATTAGCCTCAGCTCAGTATTGTATGTGGACTACAAGGGAAGAGATCATTTCACCTTTGGCATGGAGAATATAGTATCCTAGGAAAATAGTAATTAGAGATGTCATGAGAGTAATGAGAGATGTAACAAGTGGCTATAGGTTCATAGGTAGTGCTTAGAGCACCTTAACATGAACAAGATGGACCTGAGCTTCTAGCACCCTGTTCTGAACTGAAATTGTAGTTAGTATTAAAAGAATTGAGAATTCCTGGAGACAGACCTTTGAAGACCTTAGATTACTAAAGTTAAACCTGCTAATCTTGTGACCTGTGTTCTGCCAAATAGTAGGAAATATTAGAGCATAGAGGTTAATTTAAAATGGAATATGTTTATGGGTTGTTCTTTAAAAATAAGTATCTATTTACATAGTAGACATCAGGTTTTAAACAATTTTATTTAGTGGTTTTTGTGAACATCCTCTTACTTAATAAAGTAAATAATGCTTTATAACCAATAAAACATTCATCTCTTCACATATTTGTGTTACTCTGAAAGTCTGTAAAGAGGGAGAAATTAAGTAGAGATGTTAAACTGACTTTCTAGGCTTGTTAACAATGTATTTTGCCCTCCTGAAGAAAATATTGCATGGTATAGCTACCTCTTATTTTATCTGTGATCCTCAGTTCCTGCAGCAGCAATGCAATCTCCCCAAAGTCACATATTGATTCAGAAGAAAAATTTAGAAAGGATTACTTACACTATTTAGTTCAGTGCAGTTTCTACTGAGCAGATATAGACTTGAGGAATACTAAGCAGCCTCTCTTTCAAATCTGAGCTTCCTTTCTTATGGGGAAGCATCTCCCAGGCAAAGCAGCAAATGGAAAATTGCAATGCAGAGCAGGAAACTAAGTTTCCTCGAAAGGCTGATGTTTAGTTTCACAACCATTTACTCCCTTCTCTGCCTTGCTGGGATGCCTCCTGCTGTGGGCCTCTTGGTCAGGGTTTACTTGGGAATGAGAGGTTTTGAAAAGTCCTTTTTCATTAACAGAGATAGAATCATCCTGATGCTTCACTTCATGTGAACTGAAAATTAGATTTCTGGTTAGGAAGAAGGGCCATATGTGGTCTTCAGACACATTCTTCCTGATTATTTTACTACACTCTAAAATGAATCCAACATGCAGAAACAGTTTTATAAATAGAATGCAGGCTTCACTGTATTTTGCATAAAATTGACACTTATTTTGGAGAAATACTGGGGCTTTGAATGTATCCTCGGTGTTCCATCCTTTACCATCCAAATGGCAGTTCTTCAAAGACAGTGTTATCATTACTATCTAGAAGCTTCTTTTTTGGGGGGAGGGGTCCGGTTGTGGGGCCTGAACTCTGGGCCTGGGCGCTGTCCCTCAGCTCTTCAGCTCAAGGCTAGCACTCTACCACTTGAGCCACAGCGCCACTTCCGGCTTTTTTCTTTTTGCTTATGTGGTGCTGAGGAATTGAACCCAGGGGCTCAGGCATGCAAGGCAAGCGCTCTACCACTGAGCCACCTTCCCAGCCCTACTATCTAGAAGCTTCTATATGAAGACTACCTAACCCAAAGACAAGCCTGTGCCCTTATCTCCAATCAATACACAGAATCACCAAAACCTTTAAATCTATTTCTCCTAATTTGTATTACTGAAATGATTTTTTAATCCTGTATATAATACATTATGTGTTGCATTAATTTAAATATCCTAACTATGGCAAGAAAGATTGCTGCTGTGGTTTCCTAACTAGATTACTAAGAGAGCCTGCTTTATGGTATACATTCCACGGCTCTCTGGTTTATGGACTAGCAACATTATAAATATTGAATTTTGGCAGTTAAACGTGGCAAAAATGAGTATATTAAGTATTCTGTGGTGATTATTCCCACCAAGTTAACAGAATCCAGAGGGATCCCCAAATTCAGAGAGATCCCAATTCTTTCTATGATTGTAGTCACAAGTCCTAAACCTTAACCCTAAAGTACATATTCTGCAGATCAGTAAAGGAACTGAAGAGATTCAGCCTATTACCAAAACATATGGGTCAACCTCTTCTGAAACCATGAAACTATGATAAAGAAATTGTAGAGGAGCAAGTTTTTAGTACAGGACTTTTTGGTGGTCAAAAGAGGGAAGGTATTTCCACCTTTCTGACAAGCATTTTACCTGTAGATGATATTCAGAGAAATATGTGTGTGTGTGTGTGTGTGTGTGTAAAATTTCCCTTTTGAATATTCATAACTCACTAGCCAACTCTACTTGCAACTGCAACTGATCTACATGCAGTTAGTAGACAGGGAGTAAAGTTCGTTCACTTGAAAAAATGTTGCATAAATATTTTCCACTGTCTGAAGGACTAAGATCTCTTAAAGTCATTTATCAGTTTTTTGTTCCACGAGAATCAAGATTCATTAATAGTAGCAGTTTGTGAAGAGCTCCAATAGCAAACCAAGATAAAGGAATTCCTATTTTCTATTCTGCACCAAGTAACATTGAAGTTTTGATTAGGTGGAAAAAGACTTCTGACAATTTCATATGAGAGTGAAATGTGTTCACCTTGCAGCTTATGAAGGTTCTCTAACAGAACACAAAAGCACACATCAATAAAGACAAAATTTTCAAATTAATATTCTAATTTACACTAGGGAGAATATGAAAACTATAATACTAATATCTATGGAAATAACTTTTGGACAGTGATTAGATAGTTGTACAGCAGAGTTTTATAATTTAAAAAAGCTGTATGGAAATCATTTCAAAGTTTTCTTCCAAGATTAGGCCTCTAAGAAAGGTTAAACCAGGACTTTCTTATGAGATAATGCATCTTTTATTTTTATTTATTTAATTTTATTGTAAAGGTGATGAACAAAGCAGTTATAGTCATATAAGTCAGGTAATGAGTATATTTTTTGAACAATGTCACCCCTTCCCTCATATTTTCCCAGTTTTTCCCTCCTGAGCCCCCTCCCCAAGCTGTATAGTTCATTTTCAACACAGTGTCTAGACAGTATCACTACTACATTTGTTCACCCTTTGCCTCACCATTTCTGTGTTCCCCCTTTACTCTCCCCCAAAAAGATAAACGTACATATCTGGCCTTAGATTGGGGTCTTTGATCTATTTGGAATTGATTCTGGTACAGGGTAATATGTAAGAATCTAGCTTCAGTTTTCTGCACCTAGTGAATTTTGCCAGCACCATTTGTGTAAGAGGCTGTCTCTCTTACAACCTGTACTTTTGGCTCCTTTACCAAGTATCTATTGGCTATAGGTCTGTGGGTTCATTTCTAAGTCTTATATTCTCTTCCATCGGTCTTCAGGCCTATTCTGTGGCATCAGGGTGCCATACAACAGAACTCTTGAATACATTCCATGTTACTAACTGTGTGTGTGTGTGTGTGTGTGTGTGTGTGTGTGTGCACGTGTTTGTTTGGGGGTTTTTTGCTTATGGTCGCTCTACCACTTGAGCCAGACCTCCAGTTCTGTAGCTTTTCAAACATATTCTCCCATTGATCTTCACATGCTGCTGCTCCCTAGGGTGACCTTGTTAGTCAACCTACCCCACAACTGTTCTTGTATGTTACTTTTATAGTCTCAAAGACTTCTTGTCACTTTACTTAGATAAGTTCCTTTTTCCTATACAGGTCATATACTTCAAACAGTATGTAGAGTAATGCTCCACTAGCCTGAGTTTCTTTTAGAGGAGGAACTCTGAGAGATATTCTCAATTTGTTTCTTCAGCTCCAGCTCTAGGTCCATCTTGCCCTTCTTTTCCTGTACTTATTTGTGATCTCCCATCTTTGTTTTCTGCTTTGTTCAAAACTATCTGCAGGAGAGTATGTCACACTAAAACTTCTAATACATAAATCCACCATCTCTCTAATGCTTCTTCTACTCATTCGAATGCTTTCTTTTGCTCCATCCTTTATCCAAAATCCACTTCAATTTCTTAGAAAAGTGTGAGTTTTTCATCTGTGTTTCTTTTTCCTTTTTACCTCTTTTTTGTTATTTCATTCTTACCTTGTACTTGCATAACTCTTGGTAATTTTTCTCCTCTGTCCTTTTACGTGTACTATACTTTCTTATATTCTCCTGGAATATCGTATTAGTCTTAAAATTTTTTGTCCTTATAAAAATTCTGTAAATATACATTCTATAATAATTCCATTCATGCTACCACTGGATAGGAAAATTATGCCTTCACAGTTTAGACTTACTATGTTTTTTTTCAAGATATTATTGGTAAAGAAATGAGTAGTGTGAGTCTACAATAAATTGATATTTGTTGTCTGATAGTAACAAAGCTTAGTTTATAGATTTCCAAACAGTACAAGACAAAACAGTATACTAAATTTAAGGAGCTCTTTGTGCTTCAGTATATAAATTGTAAGAAAGTTGAGTAATGGCTAGTTTTCAAAGAAAATATTTACAATAGTGACATTTTCAATACTTTTTCATATTTCTATTGCTGCCTAATGATGGAAATGTCCATCAAGTAACCTTGTCTTGAAAATAGTAGAATCAGGGCTGGGAAGGTGGCTCAGTGGTAGAGTGCTTGCCTTGAATGCCTGAGGCCCTGGGTTCGATTCCTCAGCACCCCATAAGCAAAAAGAAAAAAGCCAGAAGTGGCGCTGTGGCTCAAGTGGTAGAGTGCTAGCCTTGAGCTGAAGAGCTGAGGGACAGCGCCCAGGCCCAGAGGTCAGGCCCCATGACTGGACCCCAAAAAAAAAGAAAATAGTAGAATCAGGTAGAGGTGGGGAATCATCACTTCAGAATTTTCAGACTATGAAACCCTGTGGAAGGGAAGACTGACATGACTAGATAATCTCAACTTTACATTATAAGGAAAATTTACAGAGATGTTTCACTCTACGTCTAATAAATTAAGACAATAATCCCACTTGAAAGCAAATAAGGGGATATCAACTTATCTTCTATTTAATATTTTCTTAAATAAGTTAGATTTCTTAAATAAGTTAGAGAAAGATTGATCAGGATTTGAGTTTGTTCAACTAATTGAAAATGAGGAGGCATTGGAAAAATGATCAGTGAAATAAAGAAATAAAACCACAGCAATAATAATTGTGTTCGTTAATATTTTATTGTGAGACAAGTTGTCCTTTCTTGACTCTAAAGTGCAATGCAGGTAGAAAATCTTGTTTGGAGGTTGAGCCATAGAGAAATACCATAACACGCAACAATAGATTTGCCACTTTCTATTTCACAATATTTTCACTCATTGAATAAACACATATATAGATACAAATTACTTTTATCAATGCGTAACTAATGTTCAGAATTTAAAATGATTGCTTTTAAGGTACCATAGGCAGTGAGGATATTCTGTCACAACTGTTTTTCTTTTCTCTCCTTTTCTTTTCTTGTAGATCAGAACTCATTACTATTTAACCTCTAATACAGCTTTGAATAAACAAAGTTGTATGGAGCCTACCTTTCAGTATCCATCGCCCTATCCATGTTTGCTTTAAAAATGAGCTTTCAATACTACATTCATAAGATGAGTTTGATCCTGTAATGTTCACCATACTGTTGATATAGAATGAATCCAAATAATGAAATCCTCCTTTAGGGATTTAGGGACAAAAGCATTTCCATGTGATATGTGGAAGAGGATAAACATGAAACACACAACACTTCAGGAAGCTGCTTGTGTTTCTATTTTCATACTTCATTACAGGTATGTGGAAAGCTATGCAAGAAACAAAGGCACATAAAGGATTATCATCATTAGTTTCTTTGTAGACCATCTGCTCAGAATACTTCTTAATACTGTTGAAATGAAAAGCTAAGTGTTGTAAGTACAACTTGGAAATAATTTTTTTTAAAGCAAAGCGAAACAAAATTCCTGTCAAAATTTAAGACAGGGAACTGTTATCCAGGAAAAATAAAATTGCGCATGCAGGGACACACAGAAAATAGCACTCTTTATCCTCTCGAAATAGCTGACTAATCAAATGGCCTCACTGAACATCGCAGCCTATGGAGTTCATGCAGCACTCTGTGCTATTCAAGCATTGACTTAGCCTATTTGACTCTGTTTGAAAATTATACTTCAGTTCAGACTCCAGATGTAAAGCAGCTGAGTAAAGAAGCTGAAGAAACAAGTACTAGCAAAAAAATTCATCATAAAGTACACTGCCAAATATATATTATAGAGAATGTTATATCATTACATATTTAGGTATGTAATACTTCAAAAATATGTCTAAGGTTTCTAACATTTATCTGAACCAAAGGTGTATAATCTTTTTTATGTCAAGAGAGTTTTACCTCAACATTAATGACTACTGAATGACAAGAGTGGTAAGTACTGGAAGGTTGGGTGACTGGCAATTTCTTAGCATAAGACTATAGTGAAGATTGCTGCATCAGATTGTTCTACTTTTCGTGAAAATGTTCTGTATGCCATATGATGTTTTTTATAGCATTTTACCCATAATAAAAGTTCTTAGAGTCAATCCTTTTACACCTGCCACTGCTTGATCTACTCAGTTTCTGTAACACTCTAAATCCTTTGTTGTCACTTCACAGTATCTTCACCATGAGCAGATTCCATCTCAAGAAACTAGCTTTTCTTGCTTATGTATAAAGAGCAACTCCACAGCTATTAAAGTGTTATTATGAGGTGGGAATAATCCATTTTGAAACTCCATTTCTAATTTCGTTCTCTTGCTATTTTGCTGGTCTATAGTTATATCAACCACTGAAGATTTAAATGCCTCAAGATCATCCATTAGAGTTGAAACCCACTTCTTCCAAACTGCTATTAATGTCAATATTTTGACGTTTCCTCATGAATCACATGTGTAGAATGGCAACTCTTTTCCAGAATGTTTTCACTGTAATTCTCCCAGAATTACTAGCTATAGTACCTATTGCCTTAACAAAACGCATATTTACAAATAATAAGACTTGAAAGTTTGAATTATTCCCTGATGCATTTTGTGAGACTGCCAAATGGATGGTGTGTAGCTGGCATGAAAATATTAATGTCATGCTACTTTTCCATTGGGCCTTTTGGGTGACAGTCAATGAACAGTAATAATTTGAAAGAATCTTATTTTCTGAGCAGTTCTTGACAATATACTTAAAATATTCAACAAACCAGGTTGTAAACATGTCCTGTCATCCTTGTTTGGATGCTCCCTCTGTACAGCATGAAAGAGTAGACTTAGTAAAATTCTTAAGGGTCCTTGTATTTTTGGAATGATAAGTGAGAATTGCCTTCACCTCAAGTCTTTAACAGTTTTAATCCCTAATAAGAGAAAGGATCAAACCCATGCATTGATTTCTCTCTAGCTGTGAAAATCTAAGATGTCGTCTTCTTCCAATAAGAATCTATTTTATCTAAGCTGAAAACCTGTTGGTTAATATACCCATCTTTATCAATTAGCTGGATCATGTGGGTAACTTGCAGCATCTACACCATCATTTGCTGCTTCATCTTAACACTTACATTATGAAGACCACTTCAGACCTGTACTTCATGAAACAACTTCTTTGGCTTCAAACATCCTCTGAAGCTTCCTTGGTTTTTTCAGCCTTCACAGACTTCACAGAAATTAGCACCTTACCTTATTCTGGTCTGGGCTTGCTTAAGGGAAGGTTGTAGCTCATTTGACCTACCATCAACCTCTAAAGCTTTCTCCATATCATCAATAAGGTGGTTTTTCTTTCCTATTGTTTATATATTCAGTGTAATGGATTTTTAATTTCCCTGGACAATTTTTTCTTTGCATTCACAACCTGGCTGTGTGGCACAAGAAGTCAAGCCTATGGCTTATCTTACTTTTGACATTCGTTCTTGCTAATTATTTCTAATTAAAGATTTAAAGTGAGAACCATGCACTTTTCCTTTCAATTGACTGGTGTCCAAGGTGGAATAATTAATTTGCCTACTTTTAAGATTGCTGCCCTAGGTTGGAGGGGAGGGAAAGTAGGAGAAAATTGAGGGAAGGGGTAACAAGTTTGACATGAAATGTACTCATTACCTTACTTATGTAACTGTAACCCCTCTGTACATCACCTTGACCAAAAAAAAAAAAAAAGATTGCTGTCATAGATAATAGGGAGGGAAAGACATGGGAATGGCCTGTGGTTAGGGCAGTCAGAACATGCATTTACTTATTAGGCTTATTTACTTATATGGACAGTTTCTAGCATCCTCAAAGCAATTGCAATAGTAACATTGAAAATTACTGATCATAGAGCACCATAAAATAGATAATAAGGAAAAAGTTTGAAATTCTATTAGAATTACCAAAAATGTGCTACAGAAACACAAAGTGAACACATCCTGTTAAAAATGATTAATAGTCTTAATACAGTGTTTCCATAAATCTTCCATCTGTAAAAACAACACAATATCGGCTAATTGTAATACAGTGAAGTGCAATATGTGCTATATACCAATAATTATACTAAAGTAATGATCTGTAACCTGATCATTAACTGACTGTATTATCAAGAGTTCATGGAAAAAACAAATTATTTAAATAAGGATACAGATTGTCCCATTGCAACAATGAGATGTATAAGACTCTATATTGAAGAATGAACTTTACAATTTAGGCAGGGGGTGGGGGGAAAGGGATAGGAGGGGAAAAACAAAGGTGGAGGCAACAATGCTGGATAAGAAATGTACTAATAGCCGGGCGCTGGTGGCTCACGCCTGTAATCCTAGCTACTCAGCAGGCTGAGATCTGAGGATCGCGGTTCAAAGCCAGCCCGGGCAGGAGAGACCGTGAGACTCCTATCTCCAATAAACCACCAGAAAACCGGAAGTGGCGCGGTAGTTCAAATGGTAGAGCGCTCGCCTTGAGCTGAAGAGCTGAGGGACAACGCCCAGGCCCAGAGTTCAAGCCCCACGACTGACAAAAAAAAAAAAAAAAAGAAATGTACTAATTACCTTGTTCATGTAACTGTAACCCCTCTGTACAGTATTTTCACAATAAAAAACTTAATTAAAAAAAAAGAGTTTGGGGCTGGGAAGGTGGCTCAGTGGTAGAGCGGTTGGCTTGCATACATGAGGCCCTGGGTTCGATTCCCCAGCAACCCATAAGCAAAAAGAAAAAAGCCAGAAGTGGCGCTGTGGTTCAAGTGGTAGAGCACTAGTCTTGAGCTGAAGAGCTGAGGGACAGCGCCCAGGCCCAGAGTTCAGGCCCCACAACCGGACCCCCCCCAAAAAAAGGAGTTCATGGGGGTCTGGTGAATTAGAAATATGCCATCTCTAATCCTGAGTGGCTTAAACTGATTGATGAGAATTGACAAGAGTCACTACATTAACTAGTTATAGGTTAGTAGCATATGGTTATTACAGATAACAAAAAAACATTATAAGAAGTAATTTTATGTTTATTACAGAGAAAATAAATAAAAATGTTGAAACTTTTAGTCATATTGGTAGAAAATTTAGAATATTTAGTGCTGATAGGACTGAAATGAAAAGGGCCACTCATATTTCTATCATTACCATATAATATTAACTCTGATCATTTAGTTAGGCAAATTTTCCAGCATCAAATGCAAGTACAAAAGTATTCACCACAACATAATAAAAAGCACTGGGAATGTCTGAATATTTGTAATCAGTGGAATGATAGTAACAGATACATTGTATGTCCATACTATGAGATATTGTGCTTTAAAAAATAATGAGGCATATTTTTGAAATTGCTTTGAAGGGAGATGCTAAAATATTAGGAAGAAGAAATTTCAGAAATAACATCAAATGATACCACAAAGTCTACTAAAACTTACTTGCACACTTACTCCCACCTTTAGCACCACTCTGTGTGTGTGTGTGTGTGTGTGTGTGTGTGTGTGTGTGTGTGTGTGTGTGTGTTGTTTCCAGCTGTGGTCAACCCATAACACTCATAAATCCCTTCATCCAGAAGATTTAATACAAGTAGAGAGGCATTCTCATTGTGAAGCCCACTGTGGATAAGGGACATCCTGACTCTGTATTTGAAATACTGGTATTTCAGCTGGTCTCTCTAGTTGTAGTAACTGTGGACATTGTTGTTGTTGTTTTGTTCATGTTCCAGTGAATCACAATGTCAAGTCCACTTTTAATGAGCAAAGGAGAATTAGATCCTCATTCAGCCTTTCAATGACAATTTGCCCATCCATATTAATATGGTCATTAGAAATGAAAAAAACTGTTTCTAAAAGAACAGAGATGTTACAAAGAGGATTAGTGTTGGGTGTTTGTCAAGGATTATTTAGGGACTACCTGGAAGAGCCTGCCTATCTCAGCTGCCTGACTGATTTTAAAGATTATATCATAAATAATCTTACACTGTCTAATTAGAATCAAGCCATGAAACTCTGCTTGAGTTTGTTCCATGTTAACTGAGTATCTATGAGAACTGGCAACAGTCCAAAATAGGGGTAGGGATTCTTTTTCTGCCAAGAGCTGTTTGGATATTTATAACATAATTGGAGGTCTATACAAAATTCGCTATAGAGGAGCACAGGCCATGGCAGCTGAAGAGAAGCATACATGTCTGTCATGTACCAAATGATTCTGAGGGTCTAATATGGCCCTTGGGCCCAGCATTCCCCACCTCTAAAAAGCATAGATGATGCACTACTTTCCTATTCCCTGGATCAAGTCTGCCTTTCAATTTTGTCCCATAGAGGTCCTGTTGATTCCCATTGCTAGAACACATTTATTTTTAAAGCTCACAATAATAATAATAATAATAACAACTAATTTAGCTAGTTAGAGATAGAAAACAAAAAATTAATATAGCAGCATGATTGGGTCAGGAAATACTTGGGCCATGTAGCAAGAAATTCTGGGTGTAATAATCTGTCAGGAATATATGCTAGTCTGAAGCAGGAGAAGACATGAAGTACAGTCCAAATGAAAAAATGAAATGACTTGTTTACTTTGATTTTAGAACTACTTTTAAAGTATTCTATGAATCAGTCAAAGCAGATTTATGCCATGTTATTTTGGATTAAAATATGTAATTCAAATCCTATTAATTTCCTTCATTCTATTGTTAGTTTCAAAAGTTGATTTCAAAAAGAAAATGAATTCAACACAGTGAAGGTTTTCGTAAAAAACAAAAAACAACCTTCTCCACAAAATCTAGCCACTTCATGGCACTAAAAATAGTACACAGATTCTTTGGTTCATTCACAAAAGAATTTTAAGTGTATCTTATGTTTTTTCTGTGGATTCCAAGATATTAAAATGAGAAAGGGCCTTGGACAGTGGAGTAAGTTCCTGTGGACCTTTGCCATGTTCTACTTCTCTTCCTTAGAGATTTAGTTTTTGTCTGAGAGCTAGAGGAATATGGAATTACACTAAGAGAAAATCATGGAAATGTGAGCAGAAAAAGGAGTAATTGTTATCTCCCTAACTGCTCTATCATAGAAAGTAACAAAGTTAATAATGCCTCCTTCATGTGTTAGTTTCCACTTAAAACAACCAATCAATCTTTCTAATGATGTTATTTCTAGTAAGAAATAACTTATTAATGAGAGTGGTAGGAAGAAAACATGATTTTCAATTTTTACCCAGATTTTCAGAGTGTTTCTAATAAATTAAAAATTTAGGAAAATTTACAATAATACTAAGGTTGTGGAGGAAATACATATTGAATTTTCCTTATCTAAAAAATGCATCAGAACAGAAATGTGAACTTTTTTCAGATTTAGAATATCTACATTAAAATTATAAAATAATTTGGAGATCAGACCCAAGTATTTTCAATGGGCCCATATTTTTATTCTATCTGTCATATGAAGTCAGCTGTACAATTTTCCATTTGTGGCATCATGTCAAAACTCAAAGTATTTTGGATTTTGGAGCATTTTGGATTTCAGATTAGAGATGCACAATAGTCCTATTTCTATCCAATTATCCAATTTTGTATTACAAAAGGAATTGCCTTGAAATCCATTGAGAGACCGTATTATGATGAGGCAAAGAAAATAGCACTGACTATGCCTTCATGTCTGGTGGTGGTCATATGAGTTGTCAGAAGAAAGGAATGCATGCTATGGATTTAAAATGCAAAAAATGGAATTTAAGTGAATTACATTATCTGACTCCCAGAGTTCAAACAATTGCAGAGTCAAACAACTAGTTCTTCAGTAGCCATTAAATATAATATCATAAAAGTTCAATGATAGATGTTCTTAGTATGTTAAAGGACAGAAATCAGATTATAATACAACCTTTATATATCATGGGTCCTTTAAAAACACATACATAGTTTTTGCACACAGGACACTAGCAGTGTCTATCTCTATATGTACACTAGGAGGTTCATTCTGAAGAGCAGTTTCTCATCTACAGCAATACCTGCTATATGATAGATGCTAAAAAATGACTATTGAATAAAGATTTGACACTGATTCCATAGTGGTTTATAGGATGATCATTTCTGTTCTTTATAAAGCTTTCTACAAAGGACACATATTACTCTCACTAAAACAATTTCAATTCACTATTAAGTATCAATGATTTGAATGCTGGTGTTTTTTATAATCACACAGGAAAATCAGCTGAAACCTGGGAATATAATCATAAATATCCAGCAGTAGTGAACGCTATAAGGTAGCCATGAAAAACATGCTTTACAAGAGCTGGGGTTTTTTGTTGTTCTTTTTTTTAAAAAAAATCTTTAAGTTGTACAAAGGAGTCGCCATTTACCAAAGCAGTCTACGAATCAAATGCATCTTAATCAATGTCATTTCCCTCAATATTCTCACTCACCTCTCCCCTACCCATTCCTTCCCTCACTTCTCTTTATTTTGAAGGATATTCATTTAATTGCTGACTCTTCTCCTTTGCATTTATCTACCTCTACCTCTTGGCCCCACCCCACCCCTTTAAAGTACCCACTTCCTGGCATTTATTTTGTTGGACTTAGACAGTTACAGACAAAGATGTAACCAAAAAGGAATTCTATTACATTGGTTGGTAGGAATGTAAACCTGTTTAACCACTCTAAGCAGTAGTATGGAGGTTGAAACCAGGATACAGTAAAGCCACCAGCATAACTTTGTTCATTGCAGTATTATTCACCATAACCAAGGTATGGAATGGGCCCAGATAGTCCCCAATGGATGAATGAATCAAGAAAATGTGGAATGGAATTTGACTCATCCATTAGAAAGAACAATACTGTACCATTTGTAAAGGGATGGAGAGACCTGGAAAAACTTAAATTAAGTGAAGTAAGTCAGGCCCAGAGAGACAAAAAAATGAATGTCTTCCTTTATATATAGAATCTAGGTTTAGATTATAAACTTAAAAACAAATATGTTGGATTGTATGCAACTATGTAGAAATGTATTCACTGAAGAGCTTCTTTGTTTTCTTTCTGTATTTGGATGTGTTGTAGTTTCAGTTTAGCCCTATGCTTGCTAGAAATCACTCTACCACTTGAGCCATGGCCTCAGAAGTGATCTTGTCTGGCTATTTGGAGATAAGAGTTTGCAGTATTTTCCTGCTAAGGCAGAACTGGAATCTCAATCCTCTAGATCTCAAATTTTCTAGGTAGCTAGGATTACAGGTATGAGTCACTGCTTTCTGGCTGCCAAAAGCTATATAACAAACCAAAAAAAGAGACCAAATAGAGATGACCAACCATGTAAATACAGCATAGTTTCAGGTAAAATACAACTGATTTTCCTAGATGGTAGGATAGTAGTTCATTTTTCTCTTTTAGAGCTTGTTGAATGAATAGTTTAAAATTTGTTTTAAAAAATCACTGAAAGATTTTAAGAAATCTGTGTGGAAGATTGAAAAAATATATTTTAAATGTATTGTGAGAAATGAAATTTTAGAATAATTAGAACTATATTAAAAACTTGTCAGAGACCATTATCAATATAAATCTTGATATATTAATAATTTATAGTTTCTTTTCATATTTTAAATATTAGAAGAAAATAATTGAATATACAATGAAAAGGGGCTTTTCTACCTGACTATACATGTCCTAGTATACATATATACATAATAATTGGAAAATTATATTAAATATACAATATTAAAATATACATAAAATATTTGAAAGCTATTATAAAACAATATTAGTTAAAAATAAAACCTTTATATTCCTTCTTAGAAATACACTTGCATGTAAAATGTATGAAAGATTATGTATCATATATGAAAATATATGTATCACAATTATTATCTACAAATTTTATTTCTACTATTATATAAATATTTAAAATATTTTTGTCTCAATAGGCCAAATAAAAACTTAAATTTTATCTCAACATCTTTCTAAACAAAAGTAACTGAAAGCTATCTTGTTTAATATAACTTTGGGACACTTCTTCAAACTCTTACTGTGGGTTTACCTCCTGGCTCTGCAGAATGACTCCAATGGTTGCTATCAAATTTCCAGCATCTCCTTTTCCAATTTCCCTTCCAGTCTTGCTTCATTAATTAGTGTTGATTGGTTATAGATGCTCTCTCATTCTCTCACCAGCAATTCAACCAACCTATTAACACCTGTCTACCCTTTCTTCTTCCCCTTCTGCTCTTACCCAAGCCCAAATCCTTCACTGTATTCTGCACTTCTCACATTTTGCATTAGGAAATTTGTCCCTGCAAATATATATCCTCTCTGTATTCATCGTAAAATCCTCTCTCTTTCCTAGATCAATTCCATAAACATAAATGGTCCATTGTTGCCCATCTTCAGTACATGAGTGAAAAAACAAAATTCCCCTCTGATTCTCAATTAGCTATTTGCCTCTTTCTAGCCCCATTAATTCTTAAACTAATGGTCTAAATAGCTATTCTCATTCCTTCTTTTACAATCACCCCTATATGGCATCAAAAACTGCCATTGTCACTGCAACTGAAGAACAGTGACATCATTTATTGCTGTATTCAACTTTACCCCAGAGTTCAACACAATTGATTGCTTACTTCCTCTTGTAAGATCCTGCTCTTGGTTTTGGAATACCACATTTATCCTACTCATTGCTTACTCCTTGTTACTCCTGGTAAGTCCATTACAGGTTCTCTTCTACTTGCTCTGTTTATGTGGATATGGGCTGCTTTATTTATACTCTCTCCATTATTCTCTAGGTGAGTTCTTTTATTCCATGGCCTCAGGACTAGTTATTTATATGCCAAGGAATCTCAAACTGATCTGTTGAATTAAGGTCATTCATTCAATTTATCACTTGACATGTATTTCTCTACAGATATCCCAAAGTTTGATATGAGTCTTTGACCATGGACTCAGTCTATGTCTCAATGTTCAGTGGGAAACAAAACAAAACAGCAAAAGTACTGTATTCCTCCAACAGGAAACAATTGGTACCACATTCTTGCAATTGTTTAAGCCAGAAACAACCTTGTTTCTACCATTCCCTCAGGCTCCATATCAAATCCACTTGTCCATTTCTTTCCAACTCTACTGTTAGCATTCTACTCCAGAGTCATTGTCATCGCCTACATGGGTATCTAAAAATAGACATTTACCTGATTATGCTTTCTCAACCCTTGCCTCCTTACTATCCACCATCAACCTCACAATCAAGAGTCATTTTAAAGCATACAAGTCATTCTATGACACTACTCTAATTAAACCCCTGCAGTGGTTTCCCATCACGCTCAGTAAGATCCAAATTCTTTGCCCTAACATACAATACTCCGGCTGCTTGCTTCTTCAACCTCTCCCACAGAGACCCACAAAACATATTCCTAAAGACTCATGGATGAAAGAGCTCCACTTATGGGTCAGCGTGAGCATGAGCTGAAAATTGGATACTTGAGACTATTTAATTCATGTATTTTGAATAAAATGACAAATTACAGTAACCCATTTATCATCTCTAAGATAAAGTACTATGAACTAAAAAAAAATTCAACCTCTTCTATATAAAGACTTAATTTAGTGCTGTAGAAATAATTTCAGTATTCAGCTAAGTGAGGCATTTAATGAGTATTTGGCCCTATTTTTATGCCTAAGTTTTATTTTTAGACATTTTTTTTTCCTCTCAGAAGTAGCAGAAAGCGTCTACCTTGGATTAAACTGAAGCTATCCAAGTTGCAATCAGAGTGCTTACAAAAGGGTTCAAATGTTAGAATCATCTTGCTTGGCACACTTTGGCTAGATTCCAGATGTAAGGGAGAACAGACAAAGAGAGAATGGTCTCTAATGAACATATCAAAAGAGAAATCCAGATGTTAAAACTAATCAGAAAAAGAGAAAACTTAGACCAATTCTACAAGTATAAAATAAGGATAATGTGACGGTAAACCCTACATCCATTTTAATAGCTATAGACCAACTAAGAGGAACCATCAGTACCAATTATGACAATGACAAATATCATTTGTGGTTGTGGCAGGCTAAAGAACCTTCACATCAGTAACACAAGACTTGTCCTACTCTAATAGCTGCTGGTTTCTAACTGGCCAGAGTCATAGAACAAGTCTAAGTGCCTTTTAGGTTAAAAGAAAATTCACATCTTTATGCCAGTTCATTGTTTTGAATTCCTTAGAGTAAAAGCAGATTTCAGGGTGCTATGTTCTCGTCTGCACTGGCTTTAAATTCATTGTCTTTCCACAGTGTTCGTGGCACCAATCCAATTTGTAAAAAAAAAAAAAAAATGGAAACAGAAGGAAAATGCTGTGTAGCATCCTGGGGATTTCTCCTTAGCATCCACTTAGATTTTAATAGGATTGACTTTGTTTAGACAGAAAAAGAACAAAAGAACACTGCTAGGATTATTTTCTCTATACTCAAAATATCTCCCCTGATGTTTTATAGCAAAATTGCACCACTTAGAGGACTCTTATATTGGGTGAAAGTTTGAATGTTTCAGGATGCCATATTTACCTTGGGATCCTTTTAGTTTATTTTTTTTCTTTTGTTTTAGAAGGCAGGCCAGGAGTATGTGCTGATACATTCTGGAGGAGGAAGGAGAGGTAAAAACACAGGACAGTGAAAGAAAAATAAACTGAAACAAAAAAACAGAAAGAGGATAGAGATGATGGTCGTCTGCTAACAATTAGAACAGAATAAAACAGGCTCTAGCCTAGCCAATGCTCTAAGAACCACAGCACCTCAAAGCAATCCCCTACAAGAAGGGACCCAAAGGAATTCTACCTTCAGGTTACTTTCATTGGTCAGAATGTTCTGTGGTCAAAATAACTCCTTGTATTTCTTCCTAGGTGTGGCCCCTTATAGAAGCCAATGGGGAAGTGATATGCCAGGGCCTATTATATGGCTTTTTCACTGTATGTTACTTCATATTTGAAAATATCTGAAAATACAGACGGCAAAAGCCAAGGTATCTGTGAATCTCTTTGGATAATGCTCAGACTCTGCAGATGCTCAAGCTCCCACTGTGGAATGTCCAATGGAGGACAGGCTAAAACAGGGCTTCCCAGAAGAATTGAGGTCAGCCTCTGATTCTGGAAATGTGGAAATAACCCTGGGCCAGGGCAACCTCCACCCCAGCCCTTTAGAGGCTTTGGAAAACAACAGGTAAGGCCAAGGACATCTAGAGTGGTTCATTAACTGGGCTCAATAAAACAAGCTGCTTAAAAAAAATGTCACTCACTGAATTTCTGATACTTTGCTAATTAGCAGTTAGTGGATCACCTGCCCAGATCTCCTGCAATTGCTTTAATCAGTTCAATTTTCACGCCTGTAGCTGCTGCTACCTGCTTACATAACGGAAGCCTTCTTCTAAGACTGTGCTGGAGTGATGGGAGCTACAGTTTTAGGAATTAAACTCACTCACCACTGCCTGCCACCGTGGTGGCTTAAAGGCTTGAAATAGTCTATGATTTAGAGTGCCTTTGAGTTCAAGCTAAAGCCATAATTGAAAGCCACATCCTCACTTAGCTTCTATGTCTGCTCCACCCTGCTGCCTGCATTTCCTTACAGGTTTCCTACAGATAAGGAGAACATTATCTCATTACTTGTTCACAGATTCTCACCTCAGGTGGGACTGGTCTTTGAGACCACGTTGCACAGAAAAATCCAGGGCATTGCTCATGGCTTTAAGTTATCGTTTTCCAGCTCAGACTCCAATCATAAAAATTTTCCTTTTCCAAAAAGGGTAGATTATATAATTCTCCTCAGTAATGCTCTATAGGAGAAGGAATAGAGCCAGGGAATGGGTTTTGTTTTCGTTTTTAGCAAGAATATTGCAAAGCTGAAAGAAAAAAAATAGACAAAAGACATTAGCATAGTTAAGAAGGCGGATAGCAGGCACTTCATTGAGCTCATAAAATGGAGCAAGAGCTGGGAGGTGATGCCTTTGCCTCTATTCCTAGTTATTCTGGAAGCTGAGATCTGGAGGATAAAGGTTAGAAGCCAGTTCAGGTAGAAATATGAGATTCTGTCTCCAAACAAATCATCCAACAGCAGCCAAGCAAGCACAAGGCCTCAACTTCAAACCCCAGTACCATAAAAAGTACAAGATTCTATTAAGAGAAGTGTTGAGAATGTGCAGATGTAAGACCAAGGTTTTCTCAACAATAGTCACCTCTCCTTTTTTAAAACATACTGATAATTCCCATGACATAGCAGATGTCTCCAGGAAGCTAGAGTGTCACACTGTGCACGCTTTGACTACCACCACTTCAGAGTGTTAACGCCATTAAAGAAGCTAACAAAATGTATGCTACTTAAATAAATAACAAACTTGCTGTCTCTGCAAAAGTAAATTGAACAGGATGGATGCACATTGGGAAGGTTAAATTTTTTAAAAGTCATAAAATAAATGGGGAAAATCTGTTGTATCTGGTGTGAGAGTAGTAATGGTGAAAAATTGAGAGTGGTCAATAAAAGCCCAGGGGATCAACTGTTTGGGAACAATTTGAATACATTTTCAAGAAACAAAATAATAGAAAGATGTGATAGTATTTTATGGGTTTAAGTAGAATGATAAAGATAATTTAATACATCAAATAGTGGATTCAGTCATAGAACAAGGCCTTGATTTTGCCTTTGCCAGAAACCTAGAAAATGGATGCATTTGTGTGTGTGTGTGTGTGTGTGTGTGTGTGTGTGTGTGTGTGTGTGTGTGTGTGAATCCTGGGGCTTGAATTCATTGCCTGGGTTGCTCTCTGAGCTTTTTTGCTTAGGCTAGTGCTCTACCACTGAGCCACAGCACCACTTCCTTTTTTTTTTTTTTTTTTTTTTTGGTAGTTAACTGGAGAGAAGAGGTGTCACAGCTTTTTCTGTGTAGGCTAGCTTCAGGTTGAGATCCTCAGATTTCATTCTCCTGACTAGCTAGTATTATAAGCAGAAGCCACCAGCTCTGAGCTTGGATGATTCTTTTTAAATTTACAAAATTCAATTTACATACTTAACTTTTTAAATAAGACAAACCACTGAGCCTAACTGTGTCAAAGAGAAGGACAGGAACTAAAATAATGAGAGGTCTGAAATGATATTGTGAACTCTTGGGCTACACTGAAATAAATACGAAGCTTCCTACTTGTGTTAGTTTAGGTTTATTACATCATTCTGGCATAAGAATTCCATCTTGAGCTGGTCAACATTGTTACATTTTAATATGCTTATTGAATGGCAAATGATATATCCACTGTTTTTTCATTCTCCAGTATGAAATTAATCACTCCAATTCAATCCTTATATCATTTTTTCAAACCCAGAAGAATTTCTTCCTGTATCTATATATCAAGGTATCAAGGTTTGGGGTGGGTAACATGGTACTGAATATGATCATCAAGGAAGTAGTATGAGGAATCTTTATGTATTCATTCTTAGTTGTGTACAACATTAAAGAACTTTTATTAAATGACACTTGATAATAAGCCACTTTCTAGAAAGTACATCTGCCTATAGGTACCTGAATTAGTGGCTTGCTATCTTTAGAATTAAAAGCTGTTTCTAACCTGACTGGATAGTTAATAAGAAAGGAACACTGCTAGCCTAGCTCAGTCAGTCATTTCTAAATTACAGTGGTTAGCATGGTGTTGTATAAGTGAGAGTCAGGGAAGATCAGAGTCAAGTCTACCACACACGTTTTGTTTAGATAGCTCATTGCTTCAGACTTGTCATCTACACACAATCAAATCCTGAGTCAGAAAGGTTTGAGTTCTGTGAAACAAGAGAGGGAAAAAAGAGAAATATCTTAAGTTTATCCTGACCTCCTAGGAAACAGGACTCAATTTTTCTTGTAGGGTGTCCCACACTTTCATCCAGCAAACTTAGTATCTTTTCTGCCATTAAAAATACACAATCTGAGCTGGGAAGGTGGCTCAGTGATAGAGTGCTTGCCTTGCATGCATGAGGCCTGGGTTCAATTCCTCAGCACCATATAAGCAGAAAAGGCTGGAAGTGGTGCTGTGGCTCAAGTAGTAGAGCACTAGCCTTGAGCTGAAGAGCTGAGTGACAGCACGCAGGCCCACTGTTCAGGCCCCAGGACCAACAAAAACAAACAAACAAACACACACAGACACACACACACACACACACACACATACACACACACAATCTGAGCATCACCTACGGGTCATAAACTCTACAGGAATGAGTCAGACAGTTCTTTATCTCTAAAAGCCCAGTCTAGTACCAAAAGGCAGGTGGATTATGTAAACAAATAAATCAGGATACAGAGACACCAGCAGAAATAAGGGCTCCCATAAGGTATTACTGAATGGCAGAGAAGAAATGCTAGAGACAGGGGCAGGCAGGATGCTTAGTGATGCTTTTCAAAGTTGCAACTCTGAAGGGCAGTGAGAAATTGCCCACAAGGAACATTTGAGGGAAATGGAAGAGGGGAAGTATTCTGAACAGAAAATAGGACAAAGATGCAGCCATAGGAGAACATAAATCCAGTGTGGCATAACACCAAGCAGGCTGCATAGAAGAGAAAGTCCTGGGAAGATCTACAAGGTATGGGTAATAATCCTCCTTGAAAGCTACACTAAGGAGAATGTGGCCAGCCTCTTTTACTGCTTTGTCTCTTTTTTTTTTTTCTTGGTCCAGTCGTGGGGCCTGAACTCTGGGCCTGGTCACTGTCCCTCAGCTCTTCAGCTCAAAGCTAGTGCTCTACCACTTGAGCCACAGTGCCACTTCCGGCTTTTTTCTTTTTGCTTATGTGATGCTGAGGAATTGAACCCAGGGCCTCATGCATGCAAGGCAAGCGCTCTACCACTGAGCCACCTTCCCAGCCCTGCTTTGTCTCTTAAATAAGCTACCAATCAAACTGAAAAAAAAATTGCTTGACATTGTTGAACAATGGGCATAAATGGTGCCTGTTGGGAAGATGTCTGTGGAAACTTGTTTTCTCGTAAGACAGACACTAGGCAGGACTTGATGGCCAAGCCCTTTGTCTCTAGTTTCTGGGCATTGGTTTGATGCCTGTTACAAGCATCTTACAGATGGTTGTATTTATCTTTTTTTTTTTTTTTTTTTGGGTCCGGTCGTGGGGCCTGAACTCTGGGCCTGGGCGCTGTCCCTCAGCTCTTTAGCTCAAGGCTAGCGCTCTACCACTTGAGCCACAGCGCCACTTCCGGCTTTTTTTCTTTTTTTTTTTTGCTGGTTGTAGGGCCTGAACTCTGGGCCTGGGCGCTGTCCCTCAGCTCTTCAGCTCAAGGCTAGCGCTATACCACTTGAGCCACAGCTCCACTTCCGGCTTTTTTCTTATGTGGTGCTGAGAAATCGAACCCAGGGCCTCGAGCATGCAAGGCAAGTGCTCTACCACTGAGCCACCTTCCCAGACCCGGTTGTATTTATCTTACATACATATATATATATATATGGTTCAAAAAGCCAACATGGTAAGGATAATAGCAGAAACGAGTAAGGAATCAAGATTTGTTATGACTTTATTATTGAGTTCCTGCTCCTAACTGTTCTGGTTCCTCTTACCCCTACATGGTTAATTAAGGAATACATATAACTTACTTTAGTTATTTGAAGAAATAACTCCAAACATTCCAAAATAATACAAAATGAAAATAAATGATGAATAAAAATAGCTGATAAAGAACTAGGTTCTATTTTTTGCACACATATATGCAATATGTATCATATATATATATATATATCACAGGAACAAAAAGTAATTCTCTTTTCTGCCACACACAAAATGTCAAAATGCTAAAAAAAAAAAAAAAAAAAAAGAAGAAGAAAAAGAAGGTGTGTTTTCTTTTAATAGAGTAAAGAGGACTGCATATGCTTGGTAAGAGTGGCAATAACATTTTATTTCAAAGCTACAAACATTAGTTATGAGCGATTGAAATTTTGTAGTTAGTTTAATGTGCCTTATGTTTTGTATTGTTAGCTCCTAACAAGGAAACCACATTTACCTTAACATTCCTATTTTCTTTTAGTATCAACATTAAAATGAAAACATTGACTTTCAACTGAAGCATCATTTTGCAATATATATATATATGTTTTCTGATAATATTTTACATTTTTTATTAACATAAATTAATTGTGAGAAAAAGAGGCTTCATTGTGAAATTCACAAAATCTATGTAATGTACTTTGGCCAAAATTATCTCTCTATACTGATCTTTTTTTAGTATCTTTCACTGCTATCCCCTCCTTTTGTAACAATTTTGGTGAGATTTATTATGTTATTTTCACATATACATACACACAAACACACATACATATATTCATACATTACTTTTATAATATTCAATACTCTATCATCTTTTCCTGTTCCCACTCACTTAATACCGGTATACAAATAGTTAGGCTAGCTAAGTGACACTTGTTTCCTTATTTCTTTCCAAGAACAAAATGAATAAATCCTTGTGTGCAAGGGAATATAAAAAATAAGTAACTTCACAGAATATAGCTAGGATCTGACTTTTATAGAAAGAATGAATATATGACATCTCATATAATTATGTCTATTTCAATACCATAAATTTAGCTTTGCATTTATAAAGTTCAGACTATCGAAAGGACAATATAAAAGCTTTGAGTTGGTGTGTAAACTTTTCAAATTCAAAAACCATAAGTCTGATTCATTTGGACATTGAAGTATATTGGTTTGTTCAC